ACTGTCGATGCCGCCCAAGAAGCCTTGCCGCTGTCCCCTTTTCTTCCTTGCGTTCGACTGAATGAAACAAACCACAAGATTGAAAGGGAGCGAAGGGTTTCAGTCCCTTTTAGGAGATTTGGGCAGTGGGGAGCCCAAATGGCACATGTACCCCACTACATGCATTTGTTCTATGAAGGCTAGGAGCGTTATTTAGTCATTTTCCCTTAAATGAACTTCATCGATTTTTAATTTTTAATCCGGGCGATACTTACGATTCGACATTTTTCAAGTTTTACAATAATGTTGATGTCCATCATCTTGATCTCCAATCTCCACTCTTATAAGAAGAATGACAAAGACCTATCATATCTTGATGATAACTCCTCGGCCTCAACACTACTCCCACTTCCATCATAGAAGTCATCGTCTATAATTCACATCTATTACATTATATCAATGTATTCTACGATTATAGCTATTCCTCACCGGATTATCTCAGATAACGGTTCTTCATTCAAAGGTACTAAGATAAACAGCTTCGCTAGACATCATAATATCAATTGAAGATACTCTACCATCTATTACCTTCAGGCAAATGGATTGGCAAAGATATTAATATATGGCTCATACAACTGAAATTTTTTCAACCAAGTAGAACCCCATAACTTTCCCCTTCACTGATTTTCTAACTAAAAATTTTCTTGCCTCCTTTGAACTGCTCATAACTAATTTATATGAGTGAAATTTTTTTATAATACTAAAATAGTACTCTTCATATCACTGCAAATATTCTAACACAATATATAACTATAAATGAAATAGCTAAAATTCTATTCAACTAAGTTCATCAAGTTCATTAAATAAATCATTGATTTTTAAACTCATAGTTCTAATTACCTATAAGGTTTATAATTGGATTAAACATCTTTCAATGTCATACAACTTTAAACCTCTGCTCATAAATTTTAATAATAAGGCTTTATTTGAGGCGGTTTTCTTACTGCTATTTAAAGTAACTTTTTAATAAAAAATTATTTTTTTTTCATACGAGAAGACTGCTTTAAAAAGCAATAAAAAAGCTGTTCCAAATGAAACCTAAATGTATGTTTAAATACGAACTATTATCAAGAAGAGCACACTAAGGCTTCGTTTGGGACGGCTTTTTTATTGCTTTCTAAAACGGAGTTTTAGTACATTTTTTTTTATTTTTGTACTAAAACTCCGTTTTAGAAAGCAATAAAAAAGCCGTCCCAAACGAAGCCTAAATCTAACCACAAAGCTCCCATCTATGTTCAGCTCATCTAAGAAATGAGTTGAAAATTTTTATTCAGGCTCCTACTTTTGCTCTAAACCCTCATAAATAGGCTGGATAAGAGCCGTTCAAAAACAAAAACTTAGCTATTATTATGTTCGGTTCATTAAAAAAATGAGCTGAAAAACTTTATTCTAGCTCTTGCTTATGCTCTAAATACTTATTTAATAAATAAATTGGATATGGAAAATTCAAAAACAAAAACCTTTTTTTTTTAATTTACACCCTATCTGTGAACAATAGCCGAAGCGAGCTTAAGTCTTCAATTGGAACAGTTTTTTTTATTGTTTTCAAAAGTAGTTTTTTTTTAGTACAGAAATTTTTAATTCAAAATATTTTTATACTAAAAATATTATTTTAAAAAACACTGAAAAAATTATCTCAAATGAAACTTAATAAGTTCACTTACAAAACTAAAAAGATTGAGGACCAGTCTTAGCATATTGTTCAATCAATGAGCTTTAACATTTCATTTCAATAGTCATAGCTAATAGCTAATTAGGGCTGCAAAAGAATCGAGTATGTGCGTGTTCATGTTTGAGTTCATTTATTATCAACTTGTTCAAGTTTTATTCGAACTTTTTTATTTTTGTTCAAGCTTGATTCGCTTAAATTAATGTGTATTTATATTTGGTTCTTATTTGGTTGATTTCGTGATTATCAAACTTTAAACAAATGAGCTTTATCGAGCTATAAACGAGCTCTACTTTTAGATGTACGTACATTAACTTAACAAACGAGCCTTATCAAGCCTTTTAACAAATACTTATATCGAACATGTTCGTGAACATATCTATCGAAGTTTTTTATACTATCAAACACGTTCACAAACATATCTAATGAGTATTCTTGAGCTATTAAATGAGCAAATTCATGAGCATATCTAATTAGTATTTTCAAGCCACCAAATGAGCTCATTCACAAAGAAATGATCTATGATTCATCTCATATTTGCTCAGAGAGTGGGTTGTTTGCAATTTTATGCTGATGCGGGAAGTAAAAATAAATTATTAAAAAAATTTAAATCGGATTAGTAAAAATAAATTATTATATTTAACAATATATATATTTTAAAACTCTAATATAATTCAAATCGAGCTTGTTCACAAGTCTTAAGCAATATTGTTCATGAATATAAATGAATCGAAAGCCAAGTTGTTCAAGCTCGTAATACAGTATGTATCAAAAGTATTCAAGCTCGTTCATTTATCTTACCAAATAAATATGAACGAGCTCTTACTGAACCGTGCCACGAGTAGCTTGTCAAATGCTTGATTCATTTGTAGCCCTATTGCTAATGAAGGCGATGATCATCCATCATCTTGATTCACATACAACCCAATGTATTGGCTCAAAAAGTCCTAATATAAGAAAAGAAGTATTAAAATCTTCTACTAGAATGGTAGTTCTGAGAAAAACAAAATCAGTTCGAAAAGTCTCAATTCCAGATCTGCAATGGAAGATTATTATTTATGGCTTCAGAAAACCAGTTTCAACAATGCAGCTTTAGTTGTAATAAAAGAGAAAGTATTAGAGGTTCAAAATTGCAGCAAAGTTTGTGATCCATTCAAGGCTTTCAAACTTAATTTAGTTTTCAGTTTCTGTAGTTCCAAAAATTTGAAATAAAAAGGATTTTTCTATTGGGGCTCAAATTAGAACTTTTATTATATCCAGTGAACGTACGCAGAGGAAGGTTCGGTTTTAGGCAAAAAAGCGCCTGTACCGAGTTTTTTTTCAGTGTACCAAAAAACTCGGTACAGACGCTTTTTTGCCTAAAACCGAACCTTCCTCTGTGTACGTTCACTGGATAGAATAAAAGTTCCTCAAATTACAACAATAAGAAGTCTGATAAATTTTCATGGTAAAATTTCTATAAAACATTGATTATAACTCCAGAGTTCTAATGAAATTTCATTCAAAATCTGTAAGTTTCTGCATGGAAGCTCTAAAAACCAAGCAAATTTGAGAATATTAATGAGTTTGAAATTGATCTCAACATAAATCAATCTGAAGCCAGTATGAAACCCATGAAATGTAATCCTAACCCTCAACAGAGTCGATCAAATCCAGTAAAAAAAAAAAAACGAAGAGATTCAGCTATTTTTAAATTATTGCATTACATAGACCAACTGTAGCAGGATCTTCTTGGATTAGTAAATTATTAGGTCTCACAAACTAAAATAGTATTTGCCAAGGGAAAAACGTGAAATTCAGAGAGCATCAGCTAGACAACCAAAATAAGAACAGGAATAGTTCTGATGAAGAAATCACATGAGAGCAGCTTCCAATAAAAAGTTTCTACAAACTCCTAAATTCCTCAACTGACACCAAAAACTGGAATAAAAGTTTAAACTTTGCTTCATTTTGCTTCTCAAATCATAGTCATTGTTGAACAAAAAACATGCACCAGCACAAAAGATAAAATTTAAAAAGAGAAGGTTGGAAATTAAAGGCCATGGTTACAAATCCATAGTTTCAAAAAACTCAGATAATTCCTCAATCTGGGATAGAATCTACCAATAAGTACCTCCAACTTATGATGAATGCATCCACTGTTACTTCCATTGATGCAGTGCGAGCTACTCATCCATCTACAGTACAGGAACACTTCCTAAGATCCAACGATAGATGATTAAGATCTCATTTTACTTAAGTTATGTCATTATCACAGTGCTTTACGGTATTTTAAATCAACTATAAGAGAATCATTACGATACGAAAGATATAAATATTTAAACGGTGGAGAAACTGGTTGTCTTTAATCCAATTTGTTATCCTCCACATAAAATCACAAGCCCTGAAAATCTTAAGAATGTCAAGGAGCATACATAACCTATAATTTAATAATAATCAGAAAGAAGAAATGACAAAGTGGATAATCGAAAGATGAGGTTTAAAAATTTTCTTAGCAAGATCAACATTTGGGGTTGAATAAATATCTATTAGCTATAAAATGCAGCTTAGATTATCATTAAACAACTTCCATTCTACTCTAATCTTCTCTTAAATGCTTTCCATTAAATGAAAATCTGAGAGGCTATATGAAATGAATACAATCTAGATCAAATACCAACAAGTGCATGAGGTAAGAGGCTGACTGAATAAAACAAGTAATGGAGCTTTTCAAACAAACAAAAATAATAACAATAATATAAACATAGATGGCTCTATGATAGCCTTTTGATGCATGCACAAATTGCAGTTCTTCTAGTGGTTGAGACTTTTTTTTCCTCGTATTTCATGTAATTGAATCTAGCCTATTGATATAATCAGCTTTCTGCAAATGAAATAATTATCAGGAATCAGACCCAGTTGGATAAAGATGCATTTGAGATGACCCTAAAGTCATGCTTGGCAATGGTGTGGTCACTGCATGGTAAGGCTGCAAAGTTTAGCAGTCCGTATAACAGATTTTTAATTGACACAAGGAACATAAGATAGAACAAAAGATGAAATACAAGCATTCAAACCACTCGATTACTAATGATTTGGGCAGAGTTCAACGAAACTTGAAGGACACCAATGAACACACTATAAGAACATTTAACACACTCTCCAGTTACATATATCTGGTAATTTCATTGAATAAAGCAACAAATGCACATTTATAACTAAACAATTATGTCCATCAAACGAGAAAAGCAGCTTCAGATTGCAGGCCAGGGCAAACTGTGGCGGACCAGGCATAAGCAAAAAACAATTTAGATGGTAGTCAAAATCAAACTAAACTGATTCACATTTTTGTAACCAATTTAACGATTCTGAAAACAAACCACAGATGTACTTGTTCGATAAAAAAGAAGCGTGTAAAAGCATCACAGTAACTTCTATATTTTTAACATCTAGATAATGAAGGCTTTTTACAAGCTCAAAATTACGAAATGAATGAAGAAAAATTAATGTCACTCAAACATCTTAGCCAGCGAGTTCAAAAGCCCTGCTTTTTTGTCTACTATGTTAAATCACTCTTCTAATAATGCAGTCTTATCTGGGACCTTGCTTGTATCCACGGGATCTTCTTCATACATCATCACTGCCATCTGATTTTGAATAAAGTATACGAGTGATTAATTCACACAAATCAAGAGTTCAGACATTATCATTCAGCATTAATTAATAATTGGTCATATTATGAATGCAGTGTTAGCCAAATAACTACATCACCAGCCTCTTAGATTTATTACAGGAAATGCTAGTTTATACCACTAGTTTGGAAAAATGAGTATTCTGTCATAACAGGCAAATTAACTTCAAGATTTTACCAATAAAACCTAGATATCAGGTTGCATTAACTTAATAGCTTCATATAAGGAGGTGACTACATATATTACGTGCACATTCCAAACAACAAAACTTTCCCATGATTATATATCTTAGCATCTTAAAAACCATTACAATAAGAGTTCACTTGTACTCTCCTAGGCCAAAGAAATTTAACTTGCAGGTAGAATTTGATCCTGCCATGCCTACTTTATTATCATCTTTGTTATGATCCATGGTCCACAGCCGAAAAATTAAATTTTAGGCACTTAAATTTTATATATCAATATGTATGCTTTGATCTTTTGGATTTAAATGGCATATAATACATTGCCAACTTAAACACAATTACTGGAAGTGCATAAGAAAATTTTGTCATGGGAGGTCTAAATTGAACATGTAATGTGCTAGCAAACACCTGATCTAAGGAAAATGAAAAAAAAAAAAAAAAAAAGGCAGGAGGCTAGGAAAAGATCAGATTGAGAAGAGGATGAAAGGAACGATGGAAATGGAAGTGGATCAATCCAACAACTGAAGGAAAGGGGAGAAGAACAAGGCTGCGGTTCCGCACATCTCCCATCACCATTTAGCTCCCACTGCCGCTAAGATGACAAAGTTCAGCATGCGGTATGCCTTCAACTTAGATGGGTGGAACACATTGAACAAAAGCATAATGCGGAACAAACAATATAGAAGGGATTCTGGCTATGCCCTTTCTCCAGGAGTTATTAACAATAATCACAATTGAAACCCTAAAAAGAATATGAAAAGAACAAAAATCCTGAGGCTGAAGGAAAAGAAAAGCCATGAAATTGTCAACTTGGACATTCTGAAAAGGCCTAAAGCACACAATGCATTGAATTTGTGTCCTAAAAACACCGCGTGTAGGTATCTCAATTACAAACATGAGATGATAATTGGATTTTTTGGTTAAAGGATGTTGGTTACCACTGTCAGCAAAAATAAAATAAAAAATGATGGCTGAACATAAATTTAAAAAAAACAAAAAACAAAATTTATGCATGGAATACATATTAAATATTCCTCTACATAGTTAGTTCCCAAATCCTTACAATATATGCTTCTCTCTGTTATTGATTACATGCCCGCTATAGATCCATTGGTCCAAAGACAGGTTACTACAGATGAAAAAAGCATGGACTAAAGGAAGATCAATTGAACTCCAGGTACTCAACTATGGATATCAACTTGGAAAAATGAATACTTCATTATACATTCCAAAAGAAGTTGACCAAGTTAGTAGGTTGACCTTCGTCAAATATCATCTTGTCCTACACAAGAAAAAAGTCCAACAAAAAACCTATCATAAACTAAGCAATACAGGAGAAAAATGAAAAACGATTATGATCAAAGAAAAAAACAGGGGTACTGCAAAAAAAATCAGTTGAGGTGGCATATAGGAAATTTTAAATTAATACCGTACCACTTTGATGAGTTTCCTAGATGACACGTTATAGGTCATAATTGGTATAAGAAAGCCATAAATATCTCATTGATCTCAATAAAAAAAATGTAGCAATGTTGTAAACAAAAATACTGAGTGAAGTGCTTTGCATAAGGGATGAGCCAAAAAATGTGCTTTCAAATTTGCAATCAATGGGCAGCTATAAAAGAATCTCAAAAAAATCATCATGCACTAAAAATACTCAAGAGAATGTATAAACTCTAAAAGATTTAGAAGCATAATGTATGCTTATTGGATTAATGCATATCAACAATTGAAATTGCATTCAAAACAAGAACATTATACAATTTACAAATAATTTTTTACATAAATGGTAAATAAATTTTGCATTAAATATTTACACAGCTGGCTCTCAAGTCCATAGCCACTTTATTTGCCATCAAAATTTATGGAAGCAGTTTGGTTGAAGAAAAAGAGAATTTAACAGGGAAAATGCAAACTTATAAGTTGCATGCTGGGTCGGCTGCACAACGTGAGAGAAGCAAGGCAGTCGAGTCCACTTTTTCTAGGACAATGCAAGTGCAGCAGGCAGTATATACTTTAGTTACCTGGTGATGATTGATGGTGTACTTGCTAGGAATAATCACCAAGCAACCACTTAAATTTGCATCCAGACACGAAAATTTACTGCAGTCACGCAAGAGTTCAATATTAACATGGATTAAATTGATTCTGTTACACTCTTCTTTTCTTTTAAATTCCTCAATATGATCCACATGATAAATTTTTTATAGTTGACATACAGATAAGATTCATTCATAAGGCACGTTGGGGTCCATACGGCTTATAACAAAATATTGGCATAAATAGTAGCCAGTTTGACAATATGTGGGAATCAATGCTGGCCAGCCATCATGCCATCCATCATTGGCAATTCATGAGCTTCAAAGGGTAGAAATCCCTCAAAATCAGGAAAATAAATATATGCAAGCTGTAGAATATCTTACTTATTTCAAATATAATAAGTAGTTTCCATAGGTAGAAATTACCTATTTGCTGGCTCAAGAAAAATGGAGCTTCAGCATGAATCCCGCTTTATAGCTGTAAGATTATATATTCCTTAAGTCAGATTGTAGTTAACCAGATTTCTCCTGAGAGTAGTGTCAAGGTTTAGTTAGATCTAGGTGCTTACTTCCCATGAGTGCAAGCACTCATAGTTAATTACCCCTCTTAACGCGTAAGAGATAACCCTCGATTAAAGATGAATAATTTCAGGTGTTTTTAGTCTCAATTGTAGGGAAAATGTAGGTAAATCCGATCAATATTTCATAATTCCTTCGTCCTAAATATACCAAAGGTTTCAGTCCACCAATAATAGTAATCATTGACCAAAGTATCCAAATAATCTAATTAGCAGCCATGGGTTGCCACCTCTTAGGGATCCCGAGTAAACTGAAGTGATTAGATGTAAATTTTAATTTTATTGGATTTTGGGGTTTACAACTATTATAATACCCAGAAATTAATCTGGTTTGGAATTTATAACTTTATTTAGAAGTTACCCAGAAGTTTGAATTAATGCGGGTCTTATAACTTCTATTAAAAGTAGTCCAGGTGTTTAAATTTGAGTTGAGACTTATGGGTTTCATTGAAAATAGCCCGCAAAATAAGTCTTACGGCTTCTATTTGAAGTAGCCCACTGGTGAGTCTTATAACCTAGCCCTGATAAGCTAAGATGCTTATTAGTTTTATTTGTACAGGTCTTACGACTTCTCTTTAAAGTTCACAAAAGAAGTAAGATGACAATGGCTCCAGCAAAAATGAATTAAATAGATGAATCTAAAAAATGTTATATCGAAAAAAAATGAGTCTCTTGACAAAATAACATTTGGGTCCTGTCTGATAGTGCTATAGATGGAAATAACTTAAAAGAAGATTTATGCTTTATAAGTAAAGATAAGTCAATTCCAAAAAAATAGCTTCACAAATAGAGCATGTAAGGTTGAATGGTGACTCTGATCATTAAACATGATAATCTAAAGCAAAAAAGTGCTTACTTGTGCTTGATGACATTTGGGACAAGTAGGAAGAATAGCAGGACATGAAAATGGGAGAAAGTACTCACCCTCGATGACAACTTCAACAACTTTGCCAACATTCTCGCCTCCATCCTCAACTGCTCGCACTAAGATCTCTTCATTTGGCACTCTTGCATCTTTGTCGACAATCCATACTCTATCCTCAATTGCTCAGTCTCACATCTCCTCATCTAATCCCTCATTGATTTAACTAGCTGACGACTCCTAGCTCCAAAGAACACCCAACCAACTCTCCCTTTGTAAGTAAAAGTACAACAACAACAATAACATCAAGCCTTTATCCTACTATGTGGAGTCGGCTATATGAATCCTCTTTCTCCATTGTGTCATATTCATTTAAATCTAATAAAGAAATGTTATTTCTAATATTTTCTAAACAAGTCTTTTTAGGTCTACCTCTACTTTTCTTAACATATATTAAACCTAATACATCTATTCTCCTAACCGGGTCATCGGAAGGCCATCATTTTATGTGGCCAAACCACTAAGGCGACTCTCTCTAATTTTATCTTCCACTGGAGATACACCTTTTCACTTGTATGCTCAATTTGTATCCTATCTCTAAGAGTAAAGCCACTCATCCACCTCAGCATCCTCATATGTGCAACACTTAACTTAATATTATGCTTCTCTTTTAATGGCCAGCATTCTGCACCATAAAGCATTGCAGATCTAACCACCATCTTATAAAATTTTTCCTTAAGTTTGAGGGTTACTTTTCTATCACACAAGCCCGATGCATTCCTCCACTTCAACCATTCAACTTGAATTATACCAATAATATCCCCATGTATTTCACCATCACTCTAAATAATAGACCCAAAATATCGAAAACGTGTCCAAAATATCGAAAACGTGTACTCTTATTAATGGCTTGATCACCCAAAGTCACAATCCCCCCCCCCCCCAACACCTAGATCTATTATTACTAAAATTACATTCCATATATTTAGTTATAGATCTACTCAACCGAAAGCCTTTAGACTCTAAGATTGACCTCCATAAATCAAGTATACCTTCAACTCCCTCTCTAGTTTTATTAACAAGAAGAATATCATCAGCAAAAAGCATACACCAGGGTACAACCTCTTGCAAATGTCTAGTGAGAACATCCATGACTAAAGCAAAAAAGAAATGGGCTTAAGGCTGATCCTTAATGTAATCCAACTGAAATAAGGAAATACTTGGACAAACCACCTTGTGTTTGAACATAACAACTCCTGCATACATATACTTAATAACTTGAATATAAGCATTATTAACTCCTTTCTTTTTTAGAACTCTCCTTATCACTTCTCTTAGAACTTTATCATATGCTTTCTTTAAATCAATAAATATCATATGTAAATAATTCATATTCCCTCTATACTTCTCCATCAAATCTCTCAATAAATGTATAGCTTCAATAGTAGACCTACCCGGCATTAATCCAAACTGATTTTGAAAAACACTAGTGTGACACCGCAACCTATGCTCCATGACTCTCTACCATAGTTTTAAAGTATGACACATTAACTTAACTCCTCTATAATTCGCATAATCTTGTGCATCACCTTTATTATTAAAAAGAGAAATCAACACACTCATTCTTCACTCATCTAGTACCTTTTTAGTCTTCAAAATAATATTAAAAAGATTAGTAAGCCAATAAATTCATTCATCTCCTAAGCATTTTCACACCTCTATTGGAATATCATCATGTCCTACAGCTTTTCCACACTTCATTTTCTTTGAAGTCTCTCTAACTTCGGTTTTACTAATATGCTGATAAAACAAAAAAAAATTATTTTCATTTAGGGTGCTAAGGTCATTAAAGTTAATCACATTCTCATAATCATCATTAAAATTTTTAGAAAAATATCTCAACCACCTTTGTTGAATATTCTCTTATAATAAAAGTACTTTTGATCTTCATACTTAATACACATCACTTGAATTAAATCTTAACTACTCTTATCTCTTTATTTGACTAGCTTATACATATATTTTTCACCCTCCTTAGTATCTAATCTATTATATAAATTATTAAAAACTAAAATATTTGCGTCGCATATTGCATTCTTAGACTCCTTACGGGCCTCCTTTTATCTTTTTCAATTATCAAAATTTTTATATCTAAACTAATTTTTATAACAATTCTTATTTTTTATTTTTTCTTGCGAATTTTGATTCCACCACCAACTATTTTTACTATTAGAAACTTTTTTCTTTGTACTCCAAGCACATCTTTTGCAACATTCTTAATATCACCAGCTAATTTTTCTCATATAACATTAGCTTCCTCATGCATAGATAAAATCGTAAGATTTAATATCTTACTCTCAAAAATATTTTTGTTTATATTTTTTAAAAGGCCCCATCTAATCCTAGAACAATATTTTACTTTATTTTTTTATTTTCTGTCCTTCATCTTAGGGTCTAAAACTAATAAGCGATGTTGAGTATATAAATTTTCACTTAAAATAACTTTACAATCTTTACAATCTATATGATCTATTTTTCTTATAAGAAAATAATCAATTTGAGTTTTACTATATTCATTCTTATGATGAGATGCTCATCTCTTTTCTTAAATAAGGTATTAGCCATTACAAAAACATAAGCTTAAAAAAAATCTAATATAACCTTACCACCTTCATTAGTTTCTTCAAATACATAGCCACCATAAATGTTTTTAAAATCATCTACCTCTCTACCAACATGTCCATTTAAATCATCCCTTTGCAAGTAAGAGAGATATATAAAGAGAATGAAAAAAAAAAAAGAA